GACCTATAAAGTTGAAATTTAGCACATATTTGTAATTTTTGTTAAAAAATCACTCGAAAAATTAGAAACCTGATTGGGAATTGATTTTAACACAAAAAATTTTGAAAAGAATATATACGTGGCAATTATTTTAGAATATTTTATAGTTAAATTCAGAATGTACGCACGCAAAAAAAAATCTTCACCTGGAACAGCGACAAGTTTCTCTGGAACAACAATATATTTTTCATAAATAACATATCGCTGATCTATACTGCCGTACGATGTAAAAACTTAGTTAAGTCATATTTTTGACAAAAATGAGTTTTTGGTATCAATGGATTTGTAAGAAAAAACTGCGTCTGATTACGTTATTAAAAATTTTTTATTTTAATTATTTATTGCAAAAAATAGTTATTAAAAATCTACAAAAATCCAGAAAATGAAAGAATACTTGATAAAAACTCAGTTAACTCGAGTTGAGTAGTCGAAAAATCGTAGGAAGCGTTGAGATCGAGCATAAGATACGAAATAAAAACTTAGTTAACTCGACTTGAGTGTTTTCTCTTTCGAAAAGTGGCATGAGCCGGACACTGCATTTCGATGGGAGCAAGCGTAAGTCAAATTCGTTAAAGTTCGGATTTTCTTCGGGTGAATTCGGAATCCCATGCATTTAGCTTGAGTTAACTAAGTTCTTACTTCTGAACGAAGGCTCGCGCTCGCCTACCTTTTCGAAAAGCACTACGTAACTCGAGTTAACCAAGTTTTGCTTTTAAAAAATAAAACGTAAGTCAATTATTTAATATAATTTGTTTAAATAATTAACTTTTCACTTCAGAATTAAAAAAAACTCTATCAAATTACCTAGGAAGTGAAGTTAGATTAAAGAATAATTTATATTACATTAGGTTTTTAAATACAAACAGTTTTTCGTCATTTTCTCCGTTCGAACAAAATATGACTTAACTAAGTTTTTATTTTGCACGGCAGTATAGGTGAAGATTTTTTTGCGTGTAATACTCTAAATGCTAAACAATACATGAAAAAAAAGTTTCGTTAGAATTTCCGGATTCGTTATTTTGAAATCGAGGATTTGTGCAAAAGTAACATATTACTCTAATCTTAAATTCAAAATTTTTTTTCCGTGTGGTATAAAATCAATTTTAATCTCAACATTCTTATATATATGTGTAGATTTAATAATCTAATAATTTAATAAATAAAAAAATAAAAGAAAACCTCTTAGTGATGTTTGACATTTGAGCAATAGAGAGAGAGAAAGCGGTACCCTTTTGAATCGTTTTGATCTTTGCTACAATAGATCACAGAAAAAAGCCGACATTTCGCACAGGGATTGAATTAATACGATCTTAAAATTGCGGCAGTCGACACGCGCCCGCAAAAAAGAAGAAGTGGTTTTTTTTCACAACACGCACACTCGATGACTTTTTATTTTACGTTTTTATTCTCTTTTCTTTTTCGCGCATATATACGTCATTGGATTTCATTTTTTCTTTCTCTCTATATATATAAGGGCGCCTCGTAATTGCGCCGTTATATATTTCGTTTGTCGTATATATACATATATATATATATAGATGTATATGTATAATTGGTGGAACGTCGGTAATTGCTCTTTGGAAATTTTCCATATGACTGAACTCTTTTTAGCTGCGATTCTTCGAGGTACTTTTAGCCTCGAATTTTAGATATATATATATATATATATATATATATATACTGGATCTTTCATTTCAATCAAAAAAAATTTTTTTACCGATTTTCTTTTGTCTTGTGTTTGATAATGACAAATAAAAAATTTTTTCCGTTTTGAAGAGAATTTGAAATTGTTTAACCTTTGAGGTTATATGTTTGGCTGTTGATCTTTAACTTTTTCTAAATTTTGAGATTCTGTTCGTATTTTAACATAAGTTGCGAGGTTATATTCGTACTTTGAGTAAAATTTTGAGATTATTCTCGTATTTTGACCAAATTTCGAGGTTATATTTATATTTTGAGAAAATGTTTGTGGTTATGTTCGTATTTTGACCTAAGTTTCGAGGTTATGTTCGTATTTTGTCATAAATTTTGAGGTTAAGTTCGTCTATATAAATATCCATTTAATTTTTCCATTGTTTGTACAATTTTTTTATTTTAATTGATAAATAATAATAATTTTACGAGGTTTTTATACATTTTGTGGTCCTTTAAAAAAAAAAAAAAAAAAAAATTTACTAAATATTTTTATAGTATCGGATAAATAATATAAGATTTCTCATATTACAAGAATTTATTATCCAATCGAAAATAAGGGAATGAAGAATATGAACGCAAACAAATATTTCTTCTATATATAATAATTTCGTTAATATAGAAACTTCTGAAGTAAAGGACAAATATTTCATATAACGATTTGAAAGAGACATTTAGGCTTGAGTTGATTTTGTTGACTGATGCCAGTTATTAACCACTCTCTTTGGAAACTTGTGTGACACTATATTGATGATATGTAATTCCCGATATTTTTATCCCCCCCCAAAAAAAAAAGAAATTCATTTGTTTTTATACGGAAAATTATATTTCTTTCTTGATTTTTCTTTTTTATTATTTTACCAATTTTTAATTTATTACAACAAATATTATTATTATTATTATTATTATTATTAAAAAAATTAACAGTGAAAATTAATTTTTTCATATGTAAAAAATATTTTTTTGTATCTTTTATTTGATAATACATTTGGTATTATATCTATTTATTTATTGACAAATTAAATATAATAAATTCTTTTTTGGCTCTAACTTAAATAATTCAATTATTTGAAAGGGAAAAATAATACGTTGTAACCCACTTTGTAAATTATGAAAATTAATTCTCCCATTGTTAGGTAATATATTATATAATAGAGTAACGATATCAATTTAGACATAAGGAATATTATGTGATAACACAATATACATTTATAAAAGAAGAGAGCAAAAGGAAGGACGTAACGAGATTTGACGAAAGGAGAAATTGATCCGACGGATTTGACTTGCGGATGAAAGAAAAGGGTCGGAAGTCGTGCGCAAACAAATGTTACGCCCTTTTTATATTGTATATGAATATATATATATATAGTATATTCCTATGGGAGTGTATTAACATTTATAGGATCTATTTCGCGGGATCTATGCGCAACACCAAACAATAATGTATAATGAGAACATGTGTGAAACGGCCGCGTAGGAAGGCTCCATTAGTTGTATAACCCACGCGTTTTACATTTATATACTTTCGCCCTCGCGATAACTTAACAAACCACAACTAAATGTGCATCATTCATAAATGGACATTGGATTATTATTCATATTCTTCAGAGGCGAAAAAAGAAAGAATTTTTTTCTTTTATATGTATATATATATAGGTGCAAACAAAACAAGCATATATCATTTAGTTGTGTCATGACAGTTAAATACATTTTAGTATTTTCACTTTTAATGATTGATTTTATTGGAGAGTTCAAATTTTAGAATTAAACTTTCCATTAAAATTGGCGAATCTATTAAAATTGAAAAAAATTTGATAATATACTTCAATTTAATCGATATGTCGAACTATCAATCGAAATATCGGAGAAACAATCGATATAGTAATCGATAAGTTGAAATATTGAAGTAACAATCGATATATTAATCGATAAGTTGAAATATCGAAGTAACAATCGATATATTAATCGATAAGTTGAAATATCGAAACAACAATCGATTGGTAGATATATCGAAGTAACAATCGATATATTAATCGATAAGTTGAAGTATCGAAGTAACAATCGATTAGTTCAAATATCGAAGTAACAATCGATATATTAATCGATAAGTTGAAGTATCGAAGTACTAATCGATTAGTTTAAATATCGAAGTAACAATCGATATATTAATCGATAAGTTGAAATATCGAAGTAACAATCGATATATTAATCGATAAGTTGAAGTATCGAAGTAACAATTGATATATTAATCGATAAGTTGAAATATCGAAGTAACAATCGATATATTAATCGATAAGTTGAATTATCGAAGTACTAATCGATTAGTTCAAATATCGAAGTAACAATCGATATATTAATCAAAAGGTCGAAATATCAATTGATATATCAAATTATAAATTGACAAATCGAAGTATCAATCGATATATTAATCGAAAAATTGAAATATCGAACTAAAAATCGATATTTTAACTTATCGATGAGTTGAAATATCGATGTATAAATCAATATATTAATCGATTAGCAGAAATATCGAAGTAACAATCGATATATCGAATAGACGTATTGAAATATTAATCGATATGTTATAATACTAATCGATATATCAATCGAAATATTGAAATGTTAATAAAATCGAAATATCGAAGTTGAAATATAAATCGATATATTGAACAATTTATCGATATTCCAATGTGTAAATCAATATATCGAAATAATGATCGATGTACTAATGAATATTGCATACAATTTTGTGCATATCTCTTTTTTCTCTTTCTATTTTTTATGATTAATGCGAATGGATATTAAATAAAATATATTTCGTGAAAGATTAGTGATGTAATTAAGTGTAAAGAAGATTTGAGAAGCTGCTGCTGCTGCTGCAGCGATCTTTCACACCGTGCGCTTACAATCATTATCATATAGAGCTGACATAAGAGCGTGAGTCAACGCAAATTCTTAATTGCGGAAATGAAGCACTCATCATTCTCACTTCTTGTCTCTTATCTTTTTTTTTTTTAATGAAAACTTGACATTAGAGAGATTAAATTATTATTTTATTAACATGATTATATATACATTTAGATATACCACCAACGAAGGTATACTATAAAATTAGGAAAGTTATTTTTTGACACAAAAAAAATTTACGAGATAGAAAATAATATATTTCTAAATTAAAATGTAAATAAAATTAATTATTTTGAATTATTATTAATTACATATAATTATGGTAATTTATTGTATTCTTATATGCAATTATTTTGTTTTAGTTTAAGGAGAGGTCCGGGAGCTAACGTGCAAGATGCAAGTGGTTACACTGCACTACATCATGCCGCCCTCAATGGTCACAGGTAAATTTGATTAAATAAAAATTTTACTATTTAGAACTTTTTTTTCTTGACCTCTAAACCACCACAGCGGTCTCCCAGACCGCTATTTTTCGTTTATTTTTTTTTAAATATAGAAATTTCTGCTTTTTACTAGTTTCTTTATATGAAAAACTGTTAGGTGACAATTGTTTCAAAAATTAAAATTCGTTAAATTTTATAATAATAATAATAATAATATATTTATAAATAAAATAATAAAAAAAGACTTTTTAATGTAAAAAAAAAATAAAATATATACAACAGTTTTTATTGGATAATTTAAAATCACTAGAAAAGCATAAAAAAGCAATAGCGGTCCGACAGACCGGGAATAGTAATAAGGGTACTTTTTTAGCATTTAGCAGTTAAAAAGTTAAAATTGAATATGTATTGTTTGAACTGGAATGCAATATTGTTAATGAATTAATTTATTATAAAAATTAGTAATTAGTTATTAGTAAAATTTAATGAATATATACATTTAATTTTTTGTGCATTGTTATCGCAGGGATGTGGTGAAACTGTTGCTTCAACACGAGGCATCGGCAAATGTTGTCGATTCAAAAGGTTCATCACCACTCCACTTAGCGGCTTGGGCAGGCGACGCTGAAATCGTGAGACTAATTTTGAGTCAGGGTCCTTCCAATTCCAAAGTCAACCTTGCGGTAAGTAATTCCCTCGCTTAGAACACTTGTCGTCGTCGTCGTCGTCGTAGTTGTAGTCGATGGGAAGGGGGGCAAAACTTTATCTACTCGAAAGTTTTTGTCAGGGCGACGTTTGAGGTGTTCTTACGTGAAAATTAAAACGCTCTTGAAACAACTCTCTGCTTCTATTTTTCGCCAACCAAACAACCACTCGTCACAAATTTCGACCAAGTACCTCTTTTTCACTTTTATGTATATATGTGTTAAATTTACTCTTTTTTTCGACAAGTGCCTTTTTTTAAAAAATATATTATTAATATTTTGAAAACTTAACACAAGTTCACGTATATTAAAACAATTAGCAATTCTTAAAAATTTTGTTTTAAATACAAAATTTAATAATAGCAAAAATAGTAAAAATAATAACAATATAATAATAATTATTATTATTATGAATATTATAATTATTATTATATATAATTATTATATTATATTAATATTATAATAATAACAATTATTATAATAAAATATCGACAAATTTCTGCGAGTAGAATAAAGTTTGGCAACGTTAATTGTTTTTAAACCGTTGTCTCCACCTCAGGATTTTGTCATTTATTTATTTCTAAGAGAATAATATTAAAACGCTTTCAATTATCCTAGGAGATTGATTCAATTTGATCAAATACAATTCATATTTGAAAAATTTTAACTCGTGAATAATTTGGAAACAATGTAGTGTCAACATCTCGAAGTGGGACAAATTTGAGGTTAGAAAACCCTTTTAAAACGTATTCGCAGTTTTTGTTTTTTAAATATAATAAAGTAATAAAAATAATAATATAATTATTTTTATAAAAATAATGTAATAGTAATAATAACAATAATAGTTATTATTATTATTATTATTATTATTATTATTATAAAATAATACTAAAAATAAAAACCAAATATCGACTAATTTCTGAGAGTAGAACAAAGTTTGGCAACGTTAATTGTTTTTAAACCGTTGTCTCCACCTGAGGATTTTGTCATTTATTTATTTCTAAAATATTAAATTAAAAAAAATTTCAATTATCATAAACAATTGATTCAATTTGATCACAAACAATTCATATTTGAAAAATTTTAACTCGTGAATAATTTGGAAACAATGTAGTGTCAACATCTCGAAGTGGGACAAATTTGAGGTTAGAAAACCCTTTTAAAACGTATTCGCAGTTTTTGTTTTTTAAATATAATAAAGTAATAAAAATAATAATATAATTATTTTTATAAAAATAATGTAATAATAATAATAACAATAATAGTTATTACTATTATTATTATTACTATTATTATAAAATAATACTAAAAATAAAAACCAAATATCGACTAATTTCTGCGAGTAGAATAAAGTTTGGCAACGTTAATTGTCTTTAAACCGTTGTCTCCACCTGAGGATTTTGTCATTTATTTATTTCTAAAATATTAAATTAAAAAAAAATTCAATTATCATAAACAATTGATTCAATTTGATCAAATACAATCCATATTTAAAAAATTTTAACCCGTGAATAATTTAGAAACAATGAAGTGTCATTATCTCGAAGTGACACAAATTTGAGGTTAGAAAACCCTTTTAAAAAGTATATACACATTTTTTTTTATTGCATTGAATAATTTAATAAAAACAAAACGTAAGATTTGCAAATTTTTTTTTTTGATTAATTGCATATAAAATTAATAATAAGCGAATTTAATTTTTTGAGATTCTCGAAATGTTTTTTGCAGACAAAGGACAACGAGACGGCTCTGCATTGCGCTGCACAGTATGGCCATACGGAAGTGGTGTCACAGCTGTTGCAGTACGGATGCGATCCCTGCATCCGTAACAGCCGCGGAGAGTCAGCTCTCGATCTCGCCGCACAATATGGAAGGTGAAAAAAAAAACAAATAAATATTTTTCATATATATATATCTAGAAATAAATTTTACAATGATAAATTTTATTTTGACAAGTTTCAAAATTTATTTTGAATAGAAAAATGGTTAATTTGAAAAATTTGTTATTGAACAAAAAAACAATAATAATAATAATAATAATAAAATATAAAATAAAATACAAATATAAAGTAAAATAAAAAATAAACATAAAGTGAATTAAATAAAAAATAAATTGTAAAATAAAATTAAAAAAAAAAAAACCCTTTTTATGTGTGTAATTGGAGAACGTAGAATTTTTAAATTGTTTTCTCAGTTTTGAGTCAGAGTGTCTGGCAATAAAAGATGACTTTCTCATTGTTTTCAGATTAGAAACGGTTGAGTTGTTGGTTCGAACGCATCCCGAACTAATTTCTTCTCTGAGATGCTCGTCTTCGTCTTTGATATTTCCTCACACACCATTGCACTTGGCTTCACGCAATGGTCATAGGTGAGAGGAGAAAATTGTCTTTTTTTTCAATTTTATTTTACGAATCGTATTTTTTTTTGCTTTTTTACTTTACTCTTTTTTTTATTAATTAATTAATTAATTTTTATCAAGTTTTAAGCAAATTCATTCTATTTTCATCGCATGACAAAAGTAACGCCCCACTGTAACGTTACCATTACAAAAAAACCCGTTTCTATTAGAGAGGAAAGTAACGCGTTACACTTATGTTTGTTTTTACAAAAAAAAAAGTAAAACGTTACTTTTACGAAAAAATAACGCGTTACAGTTACAAAAAGTAACGCGTTATTCTTACATTAGTTTCACAAAAATGTTACTTTTACAGAAAAATAGCAAGTCACCGTTACTGTTACATTACGTTACTTTTTCAAAAAAAAAATCACGCGTAGTTATTAAAGAAGAAAGTAACGTATTACCGTTCCACATTGGCGTAATAAATAGTGTAACACGTTACCGTTACAAAAAGTAACGCGTTATTGTTACATAGTTACATTAATTTTTAAAATCAGTAACGCGTAATTATTAACGGAAAAAGTAATGTAATACTGTTACATTAGTGTAACAAAAAAATGTAACACCTTACTTTTACAAAAAAGTAACGCGTTACAGTTACAGAAAACAGTAATGCGTTACGCTTATATTGGTTTTTTGAAAAGAGTAAAACGTTACTTTTTTAAAAAATAAAGCGTTACCGTTACATTAGCGTAATAAATAGTGTAACACGTTACCGTTACAATAAGTAACGCATTACCATTACAGAAAACTGTTACAAAAAAAAAATTCTTATAAATATTAGAAACAAATAACGCGTTACCGTTACACAGCTGAAACGTAAAAAAATGGGTATTAATAATAACAATAATAATTACTTTAATTGAAATGTAATTTTATTTTTTTCGTAAACGATATGTAAATTTGGATAAATATAGAAAGAGTACATTAGCCTGAAAGAATTTCAAATAGAGAATGGGGGAAAAGTGACGAGATATATATATATGTATAATATATAGAAGTTCACGTAGTAGACTTTATTTGGTTAAGCTGATCAAATGATCGGCAACGACACATTGACCGCGTGTGTTCGAGTTTTCGGTCCACACGTTCACCTGGCACCGACCGCCAATTCCATTTTATATTGTGTTACAAATGCCGAGGTATATAGCTGCTAAATTAGCCTCAATTTGTACCGTTCACGGTCTATCTCTCGTGCTGACGCGCCAATACTCTGTGCCAAATTAAACATTAACAATAAACAAACACCTGCTTGTTTCAGTAACGTGTCAAAATTCGCGATGTAACTTTCTCTCTCTCTCTCTCCCTTTTGCATTTCAACATTTACAGAGACAACCACGTAAAATCGAAAAGCGATTTCAATGATTTTTACTCTTGTTTGTTTATCCCTTTTAACGCAGATAACATGTCAAATATATATATATATATGTGTGTATAGAGTAACATTGAGAAAGAATGTATTTTTTTCACTTTTTTTTACAGCATTGTATTATTATCCACCTGTTTGAATCGATGTTTATATAAATATATGTATCCTTATGCAATTAATTTTGTTATCCATATATGCAATTTATGTAAATATATGTACCGCAACTGAACAAATTTGTATTTAAAATTGAAGTTATAAATTACTGTGTTGTTTAAAAAGGGGAGATATACAATTTTTGTCAATATTGTAAGTTAAATAATTTTTCCAAAATTTTATGTAAAGAAGACAAAAAAAACGTTTGAATAAATTTTGTTTTTACGATATTTTTATCTGTAAATATTTTTTTTTTAGATTTTTAGAATTTCTGAAAAAGCGAATTTAAATAATTTTAAAAAAAAATCGTACGGTGTTCTGAGTTTTCGAAAACTGAAATGAGAATCGTAATCAGTGACCTTGAATACCCCTGAGTTATAAGTTTTAAAAGAATTCAATGAAATTTACAATAAAAAGTCCGACATTTTGAATTTTGAAAATATGACTTCAAATTCGTAATCAGCGACCACGAAAACCCCTGAGTAACATGTTTCAAACGAATTCAATACAATTTTTTTAAAAAAGTCCACCATATTGGATCCGCCATTTTGAATTTTGAAAATGTGACTTGAGATTTGTAATCAATAACCTCGAAAACCCTTGCATAACAAGTTTTCAACGAATTCAATAAAATTTACAAAAAAAAGTCCGCCATACTGCATCCGCCATTTTGAATTTTTTAAATCTGACATCGAATCCGTTATCAGCAACCCCAAAAACCCCTGAGTAACAAGTTTTAAACAAATTCAATTAAATTTTCAAAGTAGCCGCCATAATAGAACCGCCATTTTGAATTTTAAAAATCTGACTTTTCAGATTCGTAATCAGAGTTTCCTAAAACCACTAGAAATTAAAAATATTTTTTACGAATTCCAAGTCAAATTAAAAAAAATTTAAATAGTGGATTTCAGATCGCTATAATTACGAATTTGAAATCAGATTTACCAAATATAAAACGTCAAATTTAAAAATAGGAGACGAAATTTTTAAAAATTGTTAGATTTTTATGAAACTTGATATCCAGGAGTTTTGGGGGACGCTGATTATACGAGTAGAATTTTTAAAATTGAAAAATGATGGTTCCAAAAATAGTGGACCAAAATTTTAAAATTATTCAGATTGTTCACAGAAAAACAGTTTACTTAAATTCCGTATCACAACCTTACGGAATTTAAGGTGTGATGTGAGTCAGTTCACTCTACATGAAAGTCAGTATCAAGGCGAAAACCTTAAATTCCGTTCCATGTAGCGACTGAAAGTTAGCTATTGTCGGTAACAAATTATGACGTAAATTACTGAAATGTATTATATTTAAATTTATTTTCAAATAGGCATAGTTTATTGTTTAACATTTTATAACTAATTTAAAATTTTACAATTCACTGTTTTTAATTAAAAAATTATTATTTTATGTAAATTATTATTTTATTTTTAAGATTTTAATAAAATTATTAAATATTGCAAAATATTAAAGGGTTTATTAAATTTATTTTATAACAGCGTAATTAGGGCGTTAAAATTAATAGTTAATAATTATTTTGAAACACATTTCCACAAATAAAATATTATAAAAATGTATTTCAATAATAATACATTTTCATAAATATAATTTTAATCAAAACTTTGCCAAAACATGTGCTCGAACTACGACATCACACACATACACGTGCCACTCACGCTTGCGCCTTGGCACAGAATGACTTTCCGTTCAACTTGGATGAATTTCAGTTCTTAAAGTAACAAATTATATGGACATATAAGATACTTATTTTATGTAAGTCACAGTAACTTATTTTCAGTTACTACATTAATTTAAGGCTAGAATGAATGTAAGTGTATTTAAATTTTAAGTAAAATGTTTTAGTGTGTTATAAAACTTATTCCCTGGGTGTTTTCAGGATCGATAAAATATATATTTTTAAAAAATGAATGTATCCCAACTAGAAAAAAGAAGTATACGGTACCTATTTTTTTAATTCTTTGTTTTTCAAAATCGATAATTTTTTTTAAGCATTAAAAAACTTTTTTCTTATTTAATCATTTATAATAAAAATGTTTTTTGATAATTATTTTTCCAGGGCCGTTGTTGAAGTTCTTCTTGCAGCGGGCGTCGATGTTAATACCAGAACTTCCGCTGGTACTGCAATGCACGAAGCGGCGCTTTGCGGGAAAATGGAAGTAGTCAGGGCCCTTCTTGACAGAGGTGTCGATCTTGGAATTCGTGATTCACGACAAAACACGGTGCTCGACCTTTTAGGTCAATTTCCCCCACACGTTACGCAGGATATCACAGCTGTGATAAAAAGTAAGTTCAAATTTTCAATTACTCTTACTCCTCTAACATCTCCATTACTGAAACTGAACAATTTTTACCAAAAAAGAATTATTCAAAAAATGGAAAAGATAAAAACAAGAAAAATCTAGATATAAAAAGAAAATGTTATCAAAAAAAAAAGAAAATAGCTCGTAAAGTCGACAAAAAAATTGTTTCGTAACTGAACAACAAAAGATCGATTTGATTCGTTTTTTTTGTGTAAAAGAGAATAAGGTCGTTATATTGGAAAAAGTAAAAGAGAGAAAAAAGAAAAGTGAATAGGGTCTTTTTTGTTTGTGTTTAAGGACACCGATCTTCGTCGGGGGTGGAAAGTGATGCCGACAGTGAGAACTTGCCGCCAATTCCGGTGCAGTGTGGCGATTCGTTGGGCAGCCCTTACGAGAATGTTCGACCGGGGGACGATCTCTCCCCAGCGGAAGGGACATCGCCCACTCAATGGCAGTTTTATCACAAGCCTCGAGACGATGATCGTCGAGTTTCCGGTACTTCCGCCGCCTCATTGTAAGTATATCTTTTTCTTACATATATATATATTCGATTTTTTCTCTTCATTTTCCAGCCTTTTGCCATTCTCTTGTTGTTACGTTTTCTGTTCTTTTTTTTTATATGTAATTTCGATTAATCTTTTCCGTTTTCTTTTAATAATGTCATTTCATTCTTCCTGTATATTAAGCCGAGGGTAAGTAATTTAGTCAATTTGTATCATTTAGAAAAATGTCCTAAACATATACTTAATCCCGATGCTTTTGTAGATGAATCAATAAGGTTTGTTTATTTTTCAATTTTACAAATATCTCTCGTAGAAACTGTCAGGTTGATTTTGTTCAAATCTCTAATCCCACTGAAAGCGCAGAATCAAACACAACTTAGAACTCAGAATTAAAATTTGCAGAGTAAAATATAAATCAGAATGACTTAATTTAATTTAAAATGTAATTTTTGTTCCTCCTGAAATCAATCGGTTGAAGAACCGATTGTCGATCCAAGCCTGGCAAACCCTAAAAATTGGCAGGAAACTGACAATAGGTTATGATAATCCCAACTTGGCGGAAAAATGGCTCAAGTCGTCAAACCCTAATAATTGGCGGTAAAATGGCTTGAGATTGTTGAAGATCCAACGTTGACGGAGGAATGGATCGAGGTTGTTGAATGTAGCCTCAAAGCTGGCAAGATTGAAATATAGAGCAAAACTTGCTCAAAGCTGTCGGAGATCCCAATAGAGTAAAACTGGCGGAGATTCCAATATAGTAAACTGGCTCAAGCCTGGTGTAGATTAAAAAGGGCAAAACTAGCCCAAAGCTGGCAAAGATTTAAAAATAGTAAAACTGGCTCAAGACTGACGATTGACGTTGAACTTGAATAACTTCTTGAGTAAGAGTTAATACTGCTCCCTGAGCAGGAGATAGGCATGAAGCGATCGTTATCTCTTTTTGCCATACACTAATGTATGTGCGGTTGCCGGGTGATGATTTTTGGTTTAACGCGCGAATTTTGATGTGACGTAATATGCATTAGCCTATCGGTGTCTAAGGGCCATCGAGAGGTGTGAAAAGTAGGGAGAAATACCGGTAAAAATGCTTCTGATTCTGAGAACGATGGCTTGGTATCCTCACTTCGTCATCGTGACTACTATCAGACAGCAGTACGGATTAAAGGAACCAACAGTTTTTGTTCATACATATCATATATCTCGATATACAATTTAACCAAGGATCATCACTCCGAAACAAATAAAAAAAGGAAAAGTGGATGATTTGGGTCACATAAAGTATATATTTCTATAATTGATGAGAGTTTGGGATCATCCCTGAATCACTGTATTCCACATCAATATACGACTGCTGTCTGATAAGTATTATATTCCATTGTTGACGAAGACACATTATTATATATTTCTTTATTTCATTTGTAATATTTCTTTTTACTATTTTTTGATTCGCGTATGTGTATGTTTAGTAGCATCAGCGCGCATACCTATATATATGTATGTATAGTCATTGAATTATATTTTTATCAAATTGTTTTTATATTCAAAAATTTTATATTTGTATTGCCAAAGAATTATAATTAAGGCGCTGCAGCCCGATAACGTGTTATAATATAACAAGATTTAACCAATATTAAAATTTTGAATATTCACTCCATAACAGATTTTTTTATATTTTTAGTTTCAAAACATTTTTCTTAATTTCTATTATAAATTGTAACATCTTTATTTAAATTGTAAATAGTAACTGAATAATTTTATTGTTCGGTTACAGACACTTGATGAAGGAACTTTCTAGCATATAGGTAGAACTTGAATTTTCTTTAAGAGGAACCGATGAAAATGACATCTATAAATAAGAACTGATTTGTTCCTGACAAATGTATGGTTTATATAGTAGAAAACCAATCGATAAGTGTAGGATCGATATTTTTTGTTCTGTAAAGATGTTTCTTAAATATTAAAAGAAGAAAAAAAATTCTTCTAACTCCAAACGAATATGAATTTAGGCAAGGTAACAGAATTTTAACAAATGTGCAAAGAAAAATTGCATTTTTTCCACCCTCTCAAAAAAAGAGTAACCACCTAAACATTGTAAGAATTTGTTAGAAAAGTCGCAATTATTGATTTTATAAAATACTATCATGATTTTTGTACTAGTAAAAAGTAACCTTATTACAGTAATGCCGATGTTAAATTCATCAAAAAAAGTCAAAATTCGTTTCTAGGAAGATTCAGTATTTATTAAATTTCTAAGGTCAAAAGTGGTAAGTCCAGTGCTATATATCCGACTATAGATATAGACAGAGTAGTTTGTCGGTAGGGGGTTTAATATAGGAGATGTGGGCAAACAAAAGCGTAGATGTGGACTGAATGAGTGGAAGAGAGTGAGAGAGAGGGTGTGTTGGTTGGGTTTTAGGTTCGGACTGCGGCAGACTGCAAGAAGGGCGGAGGTGGTGAGGAGAGGCCGCGAATGTAGCCCTAGCGCGTTAAGCACCGCTTGGCTTGGTTTAATTTTCCTGATGTAGGCAGGCGATGGTGGTGGGTCCAAACCGCCCTCTCGGATCACCCTCTCTCGCAGACCCCATTACTACTCTCCAAGCACTGCTGCTGCTGCTGCTGGCGTAGCGGGTGCACACTCGCTGTTTCAGACTTCCTAACCCGGCTGATGTTTGACGTTGGTTTTGCCCCCCCCCACTTTCAAGCGCGAGATGAATCCATCACTTTAAACAATGTAAATGTTAGCCCGTCTCGACATAAAACTAATAACTATCGCACTCACCAAACCATGTCGAATCCATCGACCACCAGCACTTTACCAACTTATCCGTCTCCTTTCACTTATACTTTAAATCTCCTATTCCCCTAGATTTCCGATTTTACAATTTTTATTTGAAAAATTTAGAAAACATTTCTTTTCATTTGAAGAATGAATTTTGTTTTCTGTAAAGATTTTTGAATTATGCGCTTCTTGCGCCAAAGTAGAATTTAATATATTGAAAACTCCTCTGATTAATTGGAGGGCGTATTTCAGTGAGGAAATTTGGGAGTTCAAGGATGTGCCACTGGGAGCAAGAAGGTACTTCTATATGACAGAGTACTCTGATTCAAGCTCCGTCATCGATAGTGTCTTTATGTCAATGTCCGACACTCTCAACTCTATTAACACCCTTCCAAGTTCAGAACAAACACCTGAAGACATACCACTAAACATTAGCACTATAACAACACCATCAGCACGGTATGACACAGTAAAACACTAACCCGCTTTTTTAAATAGATCAATTATTTTTTTTTGCACCAGATCCTAATTTTAAGCCTATGATTTCATCACATCTAGGTGATTTATGAAAAAGAAATAGTTTTATCAAAAAAAGTTATGCTTAATTGAATCGTAAAGAGAAGAAGGAGGCGACAAGGTGTTCTAATTATTCGAATCTTGTCAGTTGAATATGGATAATTTTGTGTTTGCACAGGGGCTCTGACAGTGGTCTCTATCAAACGCCACCCATACCACGTGGAATGTTGGAGGGTAGTTTCGCGTCAGAGGATTTGTCCTTGACATTGCCATCGGGCTACGGTGGTGGTAGTGGTTGTGGACGGGAGTCAGATCAATTGAGCGTCTCCTCATCATCAAGCGTCGGTGGACCGAGCCCGCGAGACCGACGATGTTTGCCCAACGATTCCAATGCTCCAGGGATTTACTTGCCGATGGCACCCCTGTCCAGTTCATCGCACACTCCCGCCTCCAACAGTAAAGTCTCGGTAAGTTTAATCTCAGCAAGTATTTCCTCTTAAATGTGAAAACACCGTCAAGAAGATTCCTCTTTTTTTTTATCTCTACCAAGTACAAATTCGTTTCTCATGTCAAATGAAAGAGAGAAGAAGAAAAGGAAAAACCATTCTCGAGTTTTGTTTACACTGACATTCTATTTCGAGTTCAATATTCTTTCAATTCCAAACGAATTTCAAATCAATTTCATCTTTGGAGATGAATTTTATTTTTTGTCTCCGATTAGAAAAGAAATTCGTCTGCGAAATTAGAATTTAAAAATTTTGATATATAGAATATAATTTTCTCTTTCAGCCAACACCACCGAAGAAACCACCACGACGTAATTTATCCGTATCGCCAACTCATCTACAAACGCAGATGTCACTCTCGGCAGATTGCACCTTGGGACCAAGCAATTATGAGTATTTGTTTCTGGCCCGAAGCGGTGCCCGAAGTCATATCGATCTTGAACAATTGCAAGCGCGTCGCGAACAATTGCGACACGTAACAAGAAGTGTCGATCAATATGTTGACATGAAAGCACGTTACGATCTTCAAATATTGGAATCTGGAATTGAACCAGTTGCCATAACATCGATTGTTGAAAATCGACCAATGAAAACACAAAATCCAAGACGAAAATTACGTCGACATTGTGAACGTGCTTATGAGAATTATGATTTGGACAGTAGTCCAACAAATACTGACAAGTCACCTTGCAGTGAAAGTGGAACACCACAGGAACGTACTTTTGTCTCAAATGCCTTCCTCACGCTTAAGTCTTCCCAGGAAAGTTTGCTTGACGATAAGCGCGACGGAAACGATATTTCACAGTCACAGGAAGCACGCGAAGCCACTGACAAGAGACTGAAACGCGTACAAATGATGTTACCAACCAGCCCGACTCACTACGTCCAACCGCCAACTCCTGATCATCCGCCACCTTCTGCACTTCAAGCGGAAAAGTCCATTCACGAGAGAATTCGTCCTTTGAGTCAGGTGAGTCATTTTTCTTTTCTATAATTTTCCAGAGATTACTTACAATTAAGATTGCAGTGATTTTTAACGATTTTTGAAACTTGACAAAATCAAATATTAACAATTATTCAACTCTTGATAATAATACCATTAAAAATTTCTCCGAATTCTCTCAGAATAAATTTTGTTCTACCCGTAAAAAATTCAAGTCCAAATATTTTAGAAAATTTTATCTAAAACTAGTTGAATTTGTCAAAGGTCTGATAAGAACAATTGGATCAAAAATCTTACTAACGAAATCTTACTAAAAGATATTGATATTATTTCACTAGGGCCGAATTACAGTGTAAAAAGTGGTTTACCAAAAAATAATGTTTTTGAAATTATACAAAGTGTAGAAACTACAATTCATATAGTTTTGAAATTAATATCGACATCAAGAACGAAATTAGAGACAAAATCAAACACCAATTTAAGGGGGGAACACCAGTTGTAACTCAACAAATAATGCTTTTTACAAGAATATTTTCCAAAAGAACAATGAATCTTTTTAAAGAATACTATTTATTAGTTAAAAGTACATGTAAAAAGCTGTAATTTAAAAGAAAAAAAAAATTTTTTTAACAAAAACTTTTGGAGATATGAGCAATTGAAGTGGCGCCTTAAGAAAAAAGGCGAATTGCGGTGACCAGCATTCTGCAAGTATACTTCGTCTCAAATACAAAAATGAAATTGATTTACATTTATTATAAGATTATCTAGTTCGTGATCGAAGGATTTAAAAAAAAAAAATTTGACAAAATGGCGACCTGTCAAAGTCAAAAGTATGATTTTCGTTAAAAAATACGGTCGATTTTCAGCTATATAAAAAAAAGTTTTGCATAAAAAAAAATCCTTCGATCACGAACTAGACTTATATGTGTAAATGAAGCACACTAAATTTTAAATAAATCGGTTTAATGGCATTCGAGTAATCGTGGTCACCGACTTGGAAAATGTCATTTTGAGAAAAACGCATTCAAAGTTTCAACTTACTTTTTTTTGTTCAGAAGAAATTTTGTTTCCAAGTTACAAAGAGTCATCGATTCCTGGACCATATAATAACTCTTCCGCAGTGGTTGCCGATTCTAAAATGCCAATTTGCTGCCATCTGTCGTTAGGGTCAGGTATGGCTGACCACCATGTATGAAGCCACGGGACGCGCCGCTGCTATGTTCTGTATATCTCATTTATTTTTCACCGGATCAACTTTGAAATTTACAGACACATTTCTAAATATGTATACTTTAAGAAAATTCACAAAAAAAATCGATTTTTCGAAAGTTACAACTGGTGTTCTCCCCTTAAATAAAGTTTCACATGTAACTAAAGAAGATAGGAACATAGATAGAAAAGTTAAAATTATTAAGGATTATTTGAAACAAAATCCGGAGATATTGTTCACAAGAGTTCAAATAATTGCGTTAAGCGCGTTACGGCTAATTTCCTAAAGCAGAACCAAATCAAAATATCAATTTCTGTTTGGTTTTGCTTAGAGAAAATTTGCTGTAACGCTTTTTTTGAATTATTCGTGTCATGCGGTAGATCATTAAACAAAGTTTATTATCTTTTTTTGAACTAATTTCTGAAAATTATTAGCAGAACAGTCAGAAACAGGGATGAGAAATACTGCCGTGCTAAATAAAAACTTAGTTAAGTCATATTTTGTTCGAACGGAGAAAATGACGAAAAACTGTTTGTATTTAAAAACCTAATGTAATATAAATAATTCTTTAATCTAACTTCACTTCCTTGGTAATTAGATAGAGTTCTTTTTAATTCTGAAGTCAAAAGTTAATTATTTAAACAAATTATATTAAATAATTGACTTACGTTTTATTTTTTAAAAGCAAAACTTGGTCAACTCGAGTTACGTAGTGCTTTTCGAAAAAGTAGGCGAGCGCGAGCCTTCGTTCAGAAGTAAGAACTTAGTTAACTCAAGCTAAATGCATGGGATTCCGAATTCATCCGACGAAAATCCGAACTTTAACGAAGTTGACTTACACTTGCTCCCATCGAAATGCAGTGTCCGGCTCATGCCACTTTTCGAAAGAGAAAACACTCAAGTCGAGTTAACTAAGTTTTTATTTCGTATCTTATGCTCGATCTGCAACGCTTCCTACGATTTTTGGACTACTCAACTCGAGTTAACTGAGTTTTTATCAAGTATTCTTTCATTTTCTGGGTTTTTGTAGATTTTTAATAACTATTTTTTTGCAATAAATAATTAAAATAAAAAATTTTTTAATAACATAATCAGACGCAGTTTTTTCTTACGAATATCCATTGATACCAAAAACTCATTTTTGTCAAAAATATGACTTAACTAAGTTTTTACATCGTACGGCAGAATAAATATTTTCATCTGAGTTTAATTTATGAATTTACTATTTTTATAGAAAAAATAATTGAATACAGATTTAATTATCATCTAAATCCTTTAATCCTTTATATGGTAACCATACCAATATATCAGCATCAAACCACATTAAACTCAATCGTAGTAATGACATAAGAACTATCTCTTTGAGAGTGTTTGAAAATGACAGAACTTTCCGAGTAACAATTTCCGTGATTGTGGTTCCTCTCTTCCCTAAAGTATATAATGAATCGGTTTCGAAATATATCGTCGTAGCGGTAAGATTCTCTCTCTCTCTCTCTCTCTGTCAATAGCGAATGAGAACGTGAAATTTCGAAGAGATTCCATGAATGCAATCGACTGGATAGAAGATAAGCAGTCGAGAAAGTCTGGTATGGGACAGGTTGCGTTTAATATACAAGCGTTTGGTGTTTGATCTCTGATGCGATTTACAAGGAGTCTTCGCCCGTTTGCCGCGCGTCCTCCTGTGATCATTCTGCTGTGAGAACGACTCTACGTTCAGTTCTCGTATATATATATCTATATATCTCTCCTCCGGCGAATATATATCCATAACACACATCTTCTGAACATTTCTCTCTCATCTTCTCCAACTGACATTCGTCGTCGTGTCACTGCCGCCCTTCTGCACCCTCTCAAATCCATCCGCGTATTTCGCCTTACTTCATACACGCTTCACGGGACATTATATGGCAAACGCGTGTCATATGAGCAACGAATCAAGTCTTTATAGCTTGGGAAAGGATCATCGTTTGTATTTACATCCAAAGATTCACCGCAGAACGCTCAGCTTCCTTTGGTTCAAAGTCATCCGTTGGTGCAAAAGCCGTCTAGCTTTATGAATGCTGTATATATATATATGTGTACTGTCGAACTGATGAAAGAAACCATCCAACCTGCTTGTGATTTGAGCAACACTTTCTAAAGATCAAGGCGCTAAACTGGTTAGCAAATATTTTTCAAACTTCTTTTATCTTATTACTTTGGTTCTCATTCAATTAGTTGATTTTTGGAATCAATTTTCCATGGTAGATAAATTATTACACGGAGAGAAATAGATGGTACGGGGTACTATCTAGATAGTACCAGGTACCATATTTGATCTTACATATACGAACAGCAATCTAGATTCTATTAGTTACTATCCAGATTGTACGGAGTAACATCTTGATTCTAGTGGGTAACATAACCATACTTTTTGTAACATCTTTGATAGTACCGAGTAGCATAACAATAGTACCGGATAACATCTACTTTTTACCATCTTAAGATCATAAATTCTTACCATCTATTTCTATCCGTGTATTATGACCTGAGTCAGTGGGATATTATTGACTAAATTAATGGATAAATTGAACGCCATTTATTAACGGAGAATATATTATTTCTGATTAATTCAAATTTTACCGCCTTGTCACCTGATTTCTGACAACCAACCGCACAACTTTCGAATTTCTTATGATCCATAATCCAAGGACTTTCATGTCCATCTTTGCTTTGAATTTCAATTTCACTTGATTTCCTTTACTGAATTTTTCGAAATTATTTAAATTTCTGGAAAAATTTCAATTTTTTTATGACACATTTAAAAATAGTATTATAAACATGTATATGTTTTGTAACGTATATCAAAAAGTCAGAAAACGCGGTGTTGAATCTTGAGAATATGTGCGGCTGGTAGAACAAGATGGGTAGCAATGGCAGCAACATCTCAACCGTCAACTTCCGCGAATTCAACAGAGCGGCAGAATCCAAGACGCCGACAAACTTTGAATAATGAAGCCCTTAGCTTCTACGCTTGTCTGACTTCTCTACCATCCTCAGCGAGCAACTCACGATTTCGTCAAGAAGATCCCGTTTTCATTTTCCCGTCTTTGCACCAATCAACATACACACCATTTTCACTAATTCCTTTCATCGTGCTTAGAAATCTGTAAAACCCTCCCCCCCCCCAAAACGCTTTTTCAAAATAATGGAACAAAAATAATTTGTTGGAAAAAAAATAGAGTTTGAATGTTTTTTAAATATTTTATTAATATTAGAAGTTTAGAAAATTAAAATTGATTTTCTGTTTTTTATTCGCAAGAAACAATATTTGGTTTATTTAAATATGAAATTAAACAAGAAAAATTAAAATAAATATTAAAATTTTAATTTTAATTTGATTCACAAACTGAAGACAGTTTAGTCTGATTAGTTTTGAAGAAAGTGTTAGGTAAAAGATTTGTTAATCAACGTAGCTGTGTGGTCAAAGTATACGGCTGTCGACTCAAGGGTCCTGGGTTCGATCCCCCATTCGAGCGAAATTTTTTAATATTATATATTTTTTCAAACTTCATCATTGATTTATATGTACAAAATAAAAATACACTGGTTTCTATATATTACTAAAAAAAAAATTACTGTTGACTGTTAGAAAAATTGAAAAAAAATATTTCTCCCTTTTTTCCTCATGTGACAAGTTTACAATTTTTTTTTTTTTTTTGTTTTTTATCGAATATCGATATGATTGTATTAAACAGAACGCGGCTGCATCATCCACTCACAGGGTCACTTGGTAGAATTCGACTTTTTTTTTTTATTTTTTTTTTTGTATATCCATTTCTCGTAATATTTTGCCAAGCGGAACTGCGTTAGTTCGGATTTTCATTTTGATAAATTCCCTTTGAAGGAAGGTCGAGCAGAAATTTAGCGCACGCCATATCTTCTGACAATTTACAACATTCCCTGTGTATATATATATATAACGAAACATCGATGTTGACATTCTTCCAAAACGCATTTTATATATATATATATACGTTACACAAATTGCATCCACTTGCAAATGATGTTTATTAAAATTTTGTAATATTTTTACCTCTCGCGCATCAAAGGACACTATTTAAATTATTCTCTGTAAATAACTGTGAAAAAAAACAAAAATAATTTCCCTTTTGAATTAATTTTTTTAAAACATTTTTATTTTTAATTCATTTTTTATAAAGTGTTCAAAAATTATTGTTTATGTTTAATTTCTTTTTTTGCAACCTAACCTCAAAATGTGTTTTAGAAAATCGAATTGATTTAAATTGACCGCGATAAATGATCGAATTATTAAAAAAAAAATTAAATAACCAAAAAATCGAATTATTAAAAGTTCGAATTTATAAAAAGATTGTATATTTAGAAATTCGAATTACAAAAAATTCGAATTTCTAAAAGTTTAAATTACAAAAAGATCGAATTATTAAAAGTTTAAATAACCAAAGAGTCGAATTGTTAAAAATTCGAATTACAAAAAAAAATTGAATTTCTAAAAGTTCGAAATGCAAGCAGCTCGAATTATTAAAAATTCGAATTATTTGAAGTTCGAATTATTAGAAAATCCATTGTTCAAAAGTTCGCATATCCAAAAAAGCGAAATATTAAAAGTTCGAATTTCTAAAAATACGGATTACCAATAGATAGAATTTTTATTGGATCGAATTTCAAAATTTTCTAATTATTGAAAGTTTGAATTATAAAAATATTGTATATTTAGAAATTCGAATTACAAAAAATTCGAATTTCTAAAAGTTTAAATTACAAAAAGATCGAATTATTAAAAGTTCGAATTACAAAGAAAAATTGAATTTCTAAAAGTTCGAATTGCAAGAAGCTCGAATTATTAAAAATTCGAATTATTTGATGTTCGAATTATTAGAAAATCGATTGTTCAAAAGTTCGAACTATCCAAAGATCGAATTATTAAAAGTTCGCATATCCAAAAAAGCGAAATATTAAAAGTTCAAATTTCTAAAAATACGGATTACCAATAGATAGAATTTTTATTGGATCGAATTTCAAAATTTTCTAATTATTGAAAGTTTGAATTTTTATTTCATCGAATTTTTAAATGTTCAATGTTTTTATAATTCGAACTTTTAACAATTCGATTTTTTTGTTTATTCAAATTCAAAAATATTCGAATTATTTACAGTTCAAATTTTTAAAAGTTTGAATAACCAAAACATTTGAAAATTCGAACTGTAAATAATTCGAATTTCTAAAGATTCGATTATTTTGTAATTCGAATATTTAGAAATTCGAACTTTTTTTAATTCGAATGTCTATAAATATTTGATATTATATAATACGAATTTTTAAATAACTAATAAACTAATAATTTTTAAGTTTTTTGAACTTTTAAAAATTCGATCTTTTGGCTATTTAAAAAAATTTTAACCTTTCGGTAAATTTCAATTTTTTGAGTTTTAAACCAAAATAAGGCGTCTCATTTTTTTTTTTTGTTCGGGAGAAAAATTTAAATTGATCGAAATTTTTGCCGAACAGTAAATAAAAAAAAAAAAAGAATCGTAGACGTATAATAATTGAAAATGTAAATAATTTATTGTTTTAGGTTTATAAACGACGTTCGCGTGACATGGAAACGGAAACGGACGAAGATCTACTTCAATTTCCGGCGGGAGTCTCTTTGGATGCCTCAAGCGGTTCTTTATCAAGTGTCTCCCTCTCGGACAAAAGTATGTCAACTGACAATGTCGAAGAATTCTTCGGCGACGTACCATTTGCAGGTAAACAACAACAAACGCTTGGCTGCACCGCATGACGCTTTCTGCCCTCGTGTTTGTGCATTCTCGTTGTTTTTCGTTTTTGTTGTCGACCATTCGCATAATTTCATATTTTCAGTTTTTTTTTTCTTCTTTTTCTCTATTCACTGTGTGATCCCAAAAAAAAAATCTTCATCGGATCATCTAAAATATCTACCAGGGGATTTTTTTTTTTAAATTCTTCGCTTTAACTTTTTTGATAAGTTAACTTTAAACAAGACGGTAAAAAAAATAATCGAAATATAGAAAAAAGGTTAAACCATATGTGATCAAAAAAAAAAAGTATTTATCAAAATGTGAAAATTAATATATTAATTTTATTTCTAAGTTTATGTAGAATTTTTTTTATCTTTAAAAGTCATTTTTTAATTAATTATATTTGCTGTATATTTTTCTTTCTTGTAAAATTTGATTTCGAAATTAAGGCCGCATTTAACGAGCAAATTAAATGCACAAAAAAGAAATGAGAATACAGAAAGAATTTGTCGAGATGGAAATGAAAAAAAAAAAAAAGAAAAAAAAAATTAAACTCAGGTGAATTTTTGAGGCTCAATAAAAATTATGTTGCTTGGGAGGATTTAATCGCGTGTTATAGGTGGGGGAGTTTTGGTGGCTCGTTTATTTACCATACCATCGAAAGGCGCGGAAAATCTGGCCAATGAGGCAAAAGCCGCAGATCCGACATTTCAGCTTACTTCTTCGGAAACGAAGCGCGAAACGTGCCGCGCAAGCATAAACTTATTTCCACCCTAACGATCTTTTGCGAGTTCATTATTCGCCACTCGTCTCCACTTCTTATTTTGCCTCTCGATTAAGAAAATTCCAATTTTTCATCATTTTTTTCAATAAATCAACATTTTAAAAGTCATTTGATAAATCTTACAGAGAAGCAGTGGAAAAAAACATCTTTTTAGGTTAGGATTGATAATAATAAAAAAAAAAAAATGTCATTTGGATTGTAATATTTCTCCAACGTTTCGAAATCTAAATGATTTTTCTCTTCCGGGAGTCTAACAAAATATAAAAATAAAAGAAAAAAAGATAAAAAAAAATAATTAATAAAACTAAACGTAAAATAAATAGAAAAATAACAAAATTTGACAATAATACGAAAAAGAAAACTGAAGGAAACAATATACAAAAAAAAAACTCCAAAATTTGATGGTTAAAAAATTAACAAGACGGTAAAAAAATGTGAAAAATAAAAATAAAAAAAAATTACCGACCTAGAAATCTACCTTATCGACTGATGGTAATTTTAAATAAACCTTTTACCGTCTAACGGTGAAGAATTTTTTGTTGGAAAATGCTAATATAAAAATTACCGACGTAGAAATTTACCTTACTGACGGATGGTAAAAGAGTTTTTTTGAAAAATGAAAATATTAAAAATTATCGACGCAGAAATCTCCCCTTACCGGTTGATAATAAAATAGTTTTGAGAAAGTTCGTAAAATTTCCAAGAAAAATTTCTTTACCATCAGTCTGTAAGGTAGATTTCTGTGTCGGTAATTTTTAATATTTTAATATTTCAAAAATTTTCTTTACCATCAGTCGGTAAGGTAGATTTCTGTATCAGTAATTTTTTATATTTTCGTATTTTAATTGAAAAAATTTTGTTATTTTTTAAAAAATTTTAATGTTTTCATATTTCAAAAATTTTCTTTACCATCAGTCGGTAAGGTAGATTTCTGTATCGGTAATTTTTTATATTTTCGTATTTTAATTGAAAAAATTTTGTTATTTTTTAAAAATTTATTTTATGTTTAGTTTTGTCATTTATTTTTTTATTTATTATTTATCTTTCGTCTTTTTTTTGTAATTTGAACTTAATTTTATATTTTTTTAGTTGTAATTGCTTTTATTTTTTATTTTTATATTAAATTTTTTGAATTAGAAATAACAAAATATTTCGAAACATTGAGAGAAATGTTGATTTAAATCCATTTGATCGAATTTCATTGTCTTTATTATTAACTTGCCCTAATAATTTACTCGACCGTTATAATTTTGATTATTATAAATAGTTTTAAAATGTATTCTTTTTCGATAGAAATTATCAATATTTTGATTTTATATTTAGAAATATTAATGTTCTAATTTAGTTTTATTTAGAACCTCAAAAAACAATATAATTATTATGACGAAAACGTTAAAAAATATAAAAAACTTTTTTTTTCTAAAAATATTTAAATTTTAGATTTTTTTATCTCAAAATTTTGTAATATTCCACAATATTGCTATCGAGAGGAAAATTTTATTACGACGGAAAATTTAAATTTAAAATCGCATTTCTTGGCGGAAAATAAATTTTTTTTTTATAATTTTAAAACAATCATTTCTAACTAAAATTTATTTTTAAATGACTTTTTATAAAATGATTGATACAAGTAAATGATATAAAATTTATTATTTGAAAATGATAATCTTGTTTTAAATATTATGAAATTAGGATATTTTAAGGTTTATTAAAATTTAAAAAAAAACTTGTGATAAATCATGTGTTTTTTTGCATAAATCAATCATTTCCATACTATTCTAATCGAGGTCATTATTTTTCATGTTATATTATTCTTGTTTTATAACAATAAGCTAAAATGAAAAATAATTTCTATTTACAATTCTATTTTATTAAAAACAAAAAAAAAAAATTAAGAAAAATACAATTATAAGGCGCCTATTATTTTAAGTTTTCTGCTCGGTTGCCACAAAAATATAAAAAGACTGAAATCAGAGATTTATTTGTTTTTAAATTTTCCTGCCTTATGATTTCGTTCATTTTATATCAAATATTGTCAAGAAAAATTGTGGCAACCGAAAAAAATTCCGTCGATATTCTTTCTGTACCGAATATATATATATATAGATTTAAGATATTTATGATCTTAAAAAAAAAAATCTTTACATAAACCAATGTTTTATTATATTTCATAAATTTTATTTTAACTGAAATAATTAATTTTATGTTCAGAAAATTTTGAAATTAAAATACAGCAAATCTCTCATTTCCGCCCGATATATATACGCTAGATCCTTATAGGCCTATAGAATGTAGACTTCCGGTTATGGAAAAATCTTTACTCGAATATTGACGTTTTTTTATTTTCGAGAAAGAATTAATGCCATTTATAAAAAAAAAAAGACTTTCAAATCGACGTGTGCAATATTTATAAAATGTTTTTCTCAGTAAATTGAGAATTATTATTATTATTTTCTAAGATTTTTACTATGATCAAGAATCCCACAGTAATTATCAAAACTTTAAAAGAAAAACAAATAGCTAACGCAATTATGATAATTGGCTTATAAAAATATTTTAATAACTTGATTAGTTCGTGATATTTAAAGTTTATTAACATATAATTGTTGGAAAATAATATTTATAATTGAAGTAATTAATTTTTTAATCCCTAATTAAGTACTGCTTCTTTTATTATTATAATTTTAATAATAATTAATTATTATTATTAATTATTATTAATATTTATTTTTAAATTTATCAATTTCATTAACTGAAAAACATTTTTTTTTTGTGGAGTTTTTGTCATATAATAAACTTATATAAAGTAAAAATTCAATTGTTCATTGCAATTGTCGAATTTAGTGATATAATATATATAATATAATATATAATTAACATAAATTATATAATTTAATATATTTAATGAAAAATGGAAATTAAATGGCAAAGTTAATTAAAAAGTATCGATGCGTATTTTAAAAGTGGAATCAGGATAAAGGATGTGCGAATAAAGCAGGATGAAATTTTTGTGAAATGAAAAAATTTATTTGTATGTGAAAAATTGATTTCACAAAAGCTGAAGAACTGTTAATTTTTTTAGTATTATTGATAATGTGATAAAAAGTAAAATTTTTTTTTATTTTTCTCGCTTATAGTCTAACTTTATATTTTATTTAAATACTTATTTAATGTATTTTTAATTTTTATTTAAATACTCCTTTTTAAAGCCAATGGAAAAACAGTTCATATCCTGGTTTTTTATTTTCAAAGTGTTTAATCCATTTGACATAACCTCGATTAAATTTCAAAAATCTTAATAAATTTATTTTAATTTAAAATTGGTTATGTATTACCAATTTAAAAAAAATATATATAATAATGATAATTATTATAATTTATAATTATAATTAAAAATTATAATTTATAAATCATTACATTACTAATTTATTTACATAATTATAAGAAAAATAATAATATTACGTCAATTTGACGCTGTACGGCGTTTAGTATTATCGATAATGAACACTAGGAGCGCCACCTTCGCGTCACATGACTGTTTAACTGTTCGAATTTTTTTTTGAACTTTGGAACAAAAACACGGGAACAAAAATCTTTTTCAATATGAATTTTTTTTATTGAAAAAATAATTACTTTTTTTAAAAGTAAATTTTTGTTTTAACTAAATTAATTTTTCTTTTTTTATTGAAAACAATTTTTTGAGGTTATGTCACTGGACTAAGCTCTTACAAATTATGAGATTTCAAAACTGTAATGAATATATTATATTGAAAAAAAATTGTACTAGATTATATTTTGTTATTGTGTTTTTGCTTCGATTAGTTGTTATGTAATATCGCCTAATTTATATATAATATATATCAAATATATATATATAATATACATATATTTATTAAAAGTATATAAACATATGTAGGTAGTTTAACAAAAATAGAGAAATGTATTTATCTAAATATTTAAGAATTTACGAATGACGTAATAATATGTCATCAATTGGCCAATAAATATTGTGCTATGTATGCAATGTCTTGATTTATTTTGTTGCTTTAATTGCCCTTCGACGCTAAATAGCATTTTTTTTTAATTAAAAAAATTTTTTTTTATTAAATTGAATTGATAGTTTTTATTTGATTTTATAAATTGCGCTTTCAGTAGAAATAGAGGTTAAAAATTAAGTCTACTTCCTTAAAAAAAAAGTTGAAGTGTAAAAAATTAATAAAATACAAAAATGAAATTATTTTCAATATTTCAAAAATTTTCTTTACCATCGGTCGGTAAGGTAGATTTCTGTATCGGTAATTTTTTTACCGAAAATAAATATTTTCTATTGTAATTTAGTATACATATAATGTAAATGAATTTTACAGAAATATAATATATAGAAAAATTTTTTATATAATAATATATTAATTAATATATTAAAATAAATAATTTTATATCAACCATTAATTTTTTTTTATATTTTACAAGAACGTTTTTTAAAAAAAATGGTCTTTTATTATATTTAGATAGAAAAAAATTATTTTACAATTTAAAAAAAACTTATTAAAATAAAACGTCTTTTTTAAAGTTTTAAGAATGTGTGTTTATTGATATATTTCATATTTTATTCAAAATTTTTTATTTTTTTAAAAAATTTTTATTATTATTAATAATATATAAATGTGTTTTCGCACTTTTTGTATCAGTCTGTTTTTATCGATTTCGACATATTTTTTTTGTGCAATGGAATTTGGCACTTTTCTCAGGGCTGGATTCGCTTAAGCAATTAAAAAAAAAAAAAAAAAAAAAAACACGAAAAATTTTGCAACATACTTTTTTGCATGCTCGACTGTTTTACTTTATTTTTTTTTAGTGTCGACTAATCCAATGACTAGACACGATAAACTTGCAAATTTTACTAAGGACTTGAATAGGGGTGAGTCATTAGGAATTTAATTAAAATTAATAAAAAATTAAATTTTTTTGAAAATAATAATAATAATAATAATAATATATTAATAACAAAAAATTTAATATTAAAATTCAAATTATTCTCGTCTGTTTTAATTAAATAAGTATTTTAAAAGAAAATTTATTGATTCTAACCGAAAATAATTTATTTGAATTAAATAAAATTATATTTGTATCAACAATAAATAATTTATTTGTTTTTAAAGAACATTTTTTCGAATACAAATTTGGTCCGTGACAATGCAAAAAAAAAACGTTTTTTTTTTTAGTTTTACTAAAATTCCCATTAAGTCACAGTGACAAATTCGGGGGAATCACAGAAAAATTTTATTGGCACCTAGCGGCGAGTTCAGAACTAATTACTTTGGCGCCAAATTTCAAATATAAAGTAAATAATTTCAAAATTAAATGACTTAAACTTTCTTTTAAAAATTTTTTACCTATGATTTTTTAATACAAGTAATAAAATTAAACCAATTTCAATGAAAAAGCTATTGATTTTCTTTTCAATTTATTCAAATTAATTGTTTTTGTATGGTTAGAAAATAAAAATAATTAATTATCAAAATCTAATTAATTTAAAATAATTTATTAATTACAAATATAATAATAGAATTTAAATAATATTGGGCAAAATTTTAGTAATAAATCATGATTTATAACAAATTCAAATAATAATTATTAGAGAGAATAAATTATTTATTGAAATTTATAATTTAAATTTATTCCAAATAAACAATAATTTAATTAATATTGTTATTAAATTGATACATTGTGAGATATTAAAATTAAAATAATAAAAGTAAAGAAATTTAAAAAAAAAGTTTCAAATATTTTTTGACACATTTCTAAAATTAGAAAAAAATAAATAAATAAAAAATGCGAATAACGTTCGTTAATGATAAAATGACTCAAGTGTGAGAAAAATTAATACTTTATCTTGCAGAATAATTTAACCCTTGTTAATTTGATTAAATAAAGGGTAATTGAGAATAGTGTGAATACAAAGTTAAAACGTTACTCGTATAAGAATACTTTAAAGCAATTGGATGATTATTAATTAAAAAAGATTCATTAACTAAGAATTTTTTTTTCTACTTTTTTTTTCTTCAATAAAAATTTTATTTCACTGAATATATTATAAAAATATTGTATTAAATTTTTATTGTTTTATTTATTTAAAGATACAAACAGACATTAAAAATATAAATAATTATTTATTTATTATTAATAATAATAATAATATAATTATAAGTTTTTAATTTTTTACTGTGACATTTGACATAAAATGACCCATAAATATATGGAGCATTTTTTCTCGAATGTCATACTAAAAATTTAAAAAGTTATTTTATTGATTTGAAACTTTGATAAATTATTTCCCCAAAATGTGAGAGGAAAAATTATCTAAAATATTAGCTTATTTATAAAAAAAAAATTTATACAAAATAAAGAACGTTGAAGTTTTTGATATTTTAAAAGACATTTTTATTTCCAAATTCTCAAGTTCAAATTTTAAAGTATAATAAACAAATAAAAAAATAAAAATTATAATAATAATGAGAATAATGATGATAATAAAAATGATAATACTAATTAAAATAATAATATTGATAATAATAATTTTATTAATAATAATAACAATAATAATTATGTTGGTGATTGTAACAAATTGAAAATTATTGGTAAAATTGAACGTGCTATTACAAATAGAAAGGTAAGTAATTATTAAATTTTTTCTTTAAAATATTTTTCTTCTTACTCGTCCATCTTAATGTTTAATTCTAATTTTTTATTTAAAAATTTAAAAAAAAAGCTCCTTATAATTTTAAGGACATATTTAACTAATAGATTAATTTACTTAAATTATATACACATGGAAAAAAATCTTTATCTGGAATAGCAATATGTTTCTCTAGAATAGCGAAAACTTTCGCTGTTTCAGTGAAATATATCGCTGTTCCAAATAAAGATTTTTTTCCGTGCATAATTAATTAATTCTAATTTCACACACTGGAAAAAAAAATTTATTTGATTCAAATAATAATCGATTACTTTTTAATTATCAAATAAATATTTACTTGAATTAAAAAAAGAAAATTTATTTGAATCAAATAAATTTTTTTTTCCAGTGTATATTATTTAACAAAAATCATGAAGACTAATAAATAGTATAAATTTGAAATATTTTCACATGTACGTATATAAAATGTAAAATACGAAAAAAAAAAAATAAATAAGTTTAATAATTTCCGGTTTCTGCTGATTTTATATTATAATAATATGTATATATTTTCACTCGATTCGGACTAATTCAATTCATGTTTCTATTGAGAAAGTATATAAAGTTTTCTTCAATGCAATGAGTTTACAACATTGTTATGGTTGAGGGTACTCATAAAATTGAGAAAGTAAATTAAATAAACTTTTGCAATAATAATGATGCAACTTTGTTTCTCACATATACATATATATTATTATACAAATCCTGTTTTTCGACAATTTGAATAGAAAATTTTTTAAATTAAATAAAAAAAAATATATTATAAACATTACTTCTTTGTAGAAATTGATTTTTTTTAAAAATATAATTTATAGTTATTTAGATTATAGATCATTTTTATATTGGATCCGCCATTTTGAATTTTGAAATAAAATTTTTTTTAAAGAAATCCTTTTACAGGAAAATGTTTCTTTAAATCAAAGAAAATTGTTTTTAATTTAAATAAAATTTATATTAGATTTAAAAAAAATTCAATTTCAAATAAAGTTTTATTTAGAAATCAAAACATTTTTTTTAAATTAAAAAAAAATATATCTTTGACTCTATATATCAAAGAAAATATTTCTTTGATTCAAAGAAACATTTTTCTGGATGCAGTGATGTAGTATTAAAATTTAAAAAAAAAATGACAAGAATACAGTTAAAGCGAGTTTACAATGCGATTAGCTTGTCGCCAATAGTAATTGCTGGTCCGCCGGATGTCGTAACGCGGTTAGTCTTATTGTCAGCTTTGTATTAATATTCACGACATGCCACCGAACTTTGCAAAACGATTCGACGAAATTATAATCGTTTTTAATTGAAAAAAATCCTCTCCTTATTTAATTCACAACTATTTTTAGACTTATATATATATTTGAGATAGAAAAAAAACAATTCTTTTTTTAGATTTATCTTCAAAAATAATCAGCATAATTAAATCATTTTAATATACGAAATTGCTATAACAAATTTTCTACAATTTTTTTTTTTTTGTTTAAGGAAGATGGAGGCCCTAACATAACCTCAAAACTGTAAAATGGGTTTTAACACAAAAAAAAAAAATTAAAATTAATTTCAAACCTTGTAAGATCTAAATTTTCAGGTTATGTTTGCTTCTTTATCTTACTCGAATTTTGATGTTATTTTCTTATCTTGACATTTAAATAAGAAGACTAATTATTATTGTTATTATTACATAAGGGTCAAAATGAGAAAATAACCTCAAAATTCTAAAAAGATAAAGAAGCAAACATAACCTCGAAATTCAGGTCTTGTACTGTAAAATTTTTTTTTTGAAATTAATTTTTATGTTTTGTTTCCGTTTTTCAGTTTTGAGGTTATGTTGCATCCTCTATCTATAACTTAAAAAATTGTTTGAAATTACTTTTTTATTTTTTGTTTGTGTTAGAAACAATTTTTCAGTTTCGAGGTTATATTATGTTACTATATTCTCCTTTAAAAATAATTATTTATATAAAAATTAATACCTATAATTAAATTTCACTGTTTTCTAAAAAATAAAAAAAAAAAGTAGAAAGAAAAGTGAGAATAAGTGATAATGAAGAAAAAATGATAAATTATCTCGCTTAGTAAAGAAGATAAAAATTTAGACAAAAATTTTATCTATTTTCCATATTATTATTTTGCCCGAATGTCAAGATTAACAGTTTGAGAATTATTTACTTTCTGCTATCGCTTACATATATATATATATATATATATACATTATATATCGACATTAAATGATTTAAAGATCTAATAAATATTTATAATATATATTCATTAAATAAATAATGAATAAGATGCGACATAAATTATTGTTTCACTCTCATGAATATTGAAAATATCCTGTAATTAAAATACAAAAAAAATTGGATTTCACCGCAGTTATAAAGTTATTATTATTTATTATTTTATTAAAAAATAATAATTATAAATAAAAAAAAAATAATAACTTTATAATTGGTGAAATTAAATTTATTCAATTTTTTGTTGGTGTTTTTTTATTTAATGTATATATATATATATTGCAACGTTGTAAATAGTGTGATAATAATGTTGAATAGTCATTAATCATTTTAATTCGCAGATTTCGAAAGAGAGTTACACATTTGTAGTTGTCTTATATTTATATTCAATTCAAGAATGATAATTTTTTTCTAACCGGTTTTTTTTTTTTTTTTTTTTAAAGTAACGCGGTGCGTTTATTTCAAAGAGTTTGTGTGTAGGTATTCTATTATATTAACGTGACAATGACGAGGAAACGAAGACACGATGTTATTCATTCTCCCTCACCTTGATCCAGTTCTGACATACCCACGAGTTGCTATCATGTCATTTTTTTTTTTTTTGCATTGATACAAAAAAATAAGTTATACGTGCAAAAAAAGTTTATATTTACAATACAATATTTTTTGTTTATAATAATAACAATAAAACTAATAAATATAATTTGAGGTTAGTTTACCTTTTCTAAATTTTAAGGTTATGTTTGCCACTCTATCTTTACTCGAATTTGGAGGTTCGATATTGACATTGATAACATAACCTCAAAAATTTAGATCTTACTAAGTTTCTTATATGTTTATTCATATTACAAAAGATTTCATATAAATATATAATTGTCGGTAAAGTAGATTTCTATGTCGGCAATTTTTTTTATATTTCCATTTTCAAAAATTAACATCAGTCGGTAAGGTAGATTTCTATGTCGGTAATTTTTTTTTATTTTAAAAAATTTCTGTACCATTAGTCGTTAAGATAGATTTCTATGTCGGTAATTTTTATATTTTCAGTTTTAAAAATTTCTATACCATTAGTCGGTAAGGTAGATTTCTATGTCGGTAATTTTATTTTTTCATTTTAAAAAATTTCTGTACCATTAGTCGTTAAGGTAGCTTTCTATGTCGGTAATTTTTATATTAGTATTTTCCGTTGAAAAATTCTTTACCATTCAGTCGGTAAGATAGATTTCTAGGTCGGTAATTTTTTATATTTTTATATTTTTATTTTTTTAATATTTTTTACCATCTTGTTAATTTTTTAACCATCTATGCGTATAAGTAAGAAAAAAAATATTCCGAAAGCAAAAAAATAAAATAAAAAAATTATAGATTTTCAATTGAGTTGTGAACAATTAAAATCTACTCCATATAAATTAGTAAAATACTATAAAATGGAGAAAATAGCTCATAAACATTGATCTCTGAGAATTCATGAGGCCAGAGAAAATAATGTGGTTTTATTATAATCATTAAATTTGTGTTCGCAAAAAAATAGTCCCGAGTAAAAAACATTAACAACCAATGGGTGTCGTAAATTTTATATATATGTATATACAAGTTTTTCATGTAAAATCATTTCTCTATGTTTTATTCAAATTCCTTTTAGAAAGTTTATTAAATTATGCGTACAATTCGCAAATTTTTTTTTCTACTTTTTTTTTGCATTATATACCTCTTTCGTTATACCAAGAATAAATCAGTCAAATGGAATAAATAACGAGATTATTGATCTTTTATCCGATATGGAATTTCTTAATCATAACATTACAATTTTCTCGCTTCATTTGCAATAATATTCGAGTGACATTTGACATTTTCGATTTTCTTTTTTCTATATATTTTTTTGTATTAATAAATGATAATTATTTTTTTTTTTGTAGAAAAAAATATGTATATAATAATTATATAATATTTATTTGATAGAAAATAATTGATTACTTGAATCAAATAAATTTGTTTTCAGTCAAAAATTATATAATTGTTTACAATTAGAAAAAAAGTACAATATAAAAATTTGAATTAATAAAATAATTAATTATTTATTTTAATTTTTAAAAAAAATCTGCAAAAAAAACAAACAAAAAATAATGCAAATATTTATACGATGATAATGAAGGAATTAAAAATTTTTTTTTTTAAAAAAAAGACTGGACGTTATCATTTATCTGCGTTCGGCTATTCTAGCTGATATGTCGGTTTTGTTACAGCAGTGAGAAAGATTTATCTCCCGTTCGCTCAAGGCTCTAATTGCTGCTCATCATTTTTTTTTTTTCTTTTTTTTTTTGTAACGATGATCTAGCAAGTCGCCGCACCGCCGCTTAGTGGTAGCTATGTATGTGTATATAGAAAGAAAATAAATGAGCCTTATAGTAAGCAGCCTAATCGTCTTGCTTGTTTTGACTCTTTCCACTGACTCGGGCAATCCAAAAGAAAACTGACACGATATATATATATGTATATATAAAACTATTTATGCTTGTGTCTTTCCATGTGTACGTCTCATTTTGTTTTGTGGCTGTGTGCATACCAGCTGATATGACATCACGATGGAATGTGTGAACCCTCGGATGTGTGACTCAAACATTCGAGAATTAACTACGCATTCTCTGTGTGTATTATATTCAAAAACCACAAACACCAAAATTTATCAGGGAATTATTACAAATGGAATTCTGAGTCATTAGGAAATCGTTTAAAAATTCATTTCATTATTTATTTCTCATTAATTTTTTTTTTCTCATTTTACAATATTATAATAGTCTACTAAAATTAAATACAAAATAAGAAGAAAAACAATAAAAATATAATAAACTTTACTATAATAATTTAACTAATATTTAAAAAATATAGTAATAATAATAATAATAATATACTAAAATATAATATAAAAAATATAAATATGTAAATATATATTTTATAAAATTAAACAAATCAATAATTAATAAGACTGGTCGATGAATTTTTAAAAATATTTCCTCCATATTGGATCCGCTATTTTGAATTTTGAAAAACTGACATTAAATTCGGAACAGATTCTGCCATATTGCATTCGCTATTATGAATTTTGAAAATCTGATATCGGATTCGTAATCAGCGACCCCAAAAACCCCCGAGTAACAAGTTTCATGCAAATTTGATCAATTAAAAAAAAGTTCGCCATTTTGAATTCCGCCATTTTGAATTTCGAAAATCTGACATCGAATCCGTAATCAGCGACCCCAGAAAACCTGCGAGTTGTGATTTTTAACCAAATTCGATGAAAAAACAAAAATATATTCCGCCATATTGGATCCGCCATATTGGATTTTTGAAATGGAACTACAGATTCGTAATCAGCAATTTCGAAAACTATAATTCAAAAAATTAATTTATTCTGTTTTTAATTTTCAAGTAGATTTCACAATTAAAAAAAATTTGTTTTTACTTTATTATTATTATTATTATTGCTATTTTTCAAAATTCCAAAATAAGTTTCAAAAATTTCAGAATTTATAAATTCAATTTACAAACAATTCATTTATTAATATATATAAAAAATTCAATTGTTTACAGTTAAATTTTTATTAAATTCTATTCAATAGTAAAAGCAAAACGTGTTTTTGCAAAAGAAGACGTGATCCATTTTGTCTGACGACGCGTGATCAATATAAAATTCGGTTTGCAAACAAACAGAAACCATTTACGAAAAAGAATCCGAAAAGAGCGACTGACATGACGTCTGCGGAATTCGAATTGATTTCAATTTCCAAACGCGTAACTTTTATTCGTAGAGTCGTTGCTTCCTCTTTTTTAAATTCAAAGAAAACAAAAAAAAAATTTTCTAATAAAAAAAAAGTTACGCATCAACAAAAAAAAAATTATTATTATTATTATTATTATTATAGACTACTTACATTGCTTGATTGGTACTTAGATAAATCCTTCGATACATCGAAGTATCATTAAAATGATCGATTAGTTCGATATATCGATTGTGATTTCGATATATCGATTGGTATTAACATGTACCTTTCGATATATCGAATTATTATCACATCTATTGACTTACTAATCGATAAATATAATGATATTTCGATATATCGATTGTAATTCCGATATATTGATTTCTGTTTCAATATATCGATTGGTACATAAATATATCGATTGGTATTAAAATGTACCTTTCGATATATCGAATTATTATCAGATCTATTGACTTACTAATCGATAAATATAATGATATTTCGATATATCGATTTTGATTTCTATATATCAATTACTACAAATAATAAAATAATAAAAAATAATTTAAAACAATAAAAAACATAATAAATAATAAAATATAATAATAAATAATAAAATATAATAATAAATAATAATAATAATAAAATTTAAATAAATATTCCACTACAAAATACTTATTATAAAAACAGTTTAAAAAAATTGAACTAATTAGCAAAGGCGTTTATAATTATTATGTATATATATATATTTATAAACGCAGTAAAAGTGTGTGCAATTTAAAACGTTAAACATATAATATTGGGCCTTAAAGTGGCGTGAGAGTGGTGGTGGAGGGGGGAAAGAGAAGTCAAGTTTACCCCTACCATTGAAGCGCGACCAGTTGCCAGTCGGTAGAATGGAAGAGGTGAGGGGGTGGGGGGAAAAAAATAGTGCGGGGCCCCTATCCACTCGAGGCCCATCTCTATAAGCGGGGTCATCTTTCTGCGTTGCTGTTAACAAGTGAAAGAAAGAGAGAGAGAGAGAACTGCCACAAAACTCTCTGCTAACACTTATAAACTCGACCGTCAGTCTTTCGTATTGTCAGTTAGAGCGCGGGTGGCGAGTGTGTTTCAGATCCGTTTTTTAACAGTTCTTTAGTTTCCCACTTAATTCTCCCCCCCCCTCCCTCTCACTCTCTGTCTCTCACTCTCTCTCTCTTTATTTGCCCCTCTAACATATCCTCCTCGTTTCTACTCTTCGGTAACCATAAGTTCAAATTAGTCGGCTCATACAACGAGTGTGTCGCACTTGCTTTTTGCATAACACGAGATATCGTTTATACTTGATGTGCACGTGGCGTGTGTGAGACTCACAGTGATCAGTATAATTATAAAAAATAATAAAATAATTTTTCAAATTTAACAAAAAAAAAAAAAAAAAATACTATTTAGAAAAAAATGTGTTGAATAAAAATACAATTATTTTTTATTTTAAGAAAAAAAAATTTACAAACAAAAAACTATTATTTATTATTTAAAAAAAAATTTGTTAACTATTATTTTTATTATTTCAAAATAAAATTTGTTAACAAAAAAAAAAAAGAATTGAATAGAAAATAAAAAAAAAACATTTTCTTAACAAAAAATACAATTTTTTATTGTACAATAAATTTTATTACTATTTTTACAATTTATTATTGTAAAAAAAAAGATTTGTGATAAATAGAAAAACAGAAAAAAAAATTTTTTTTGTTGACTTTATTCAAAAAGAAGAATTTTGAAATTGTGACAAGTGCAACTGAAAGTGGTGGGGGAAAAGTGTGTGGACTCTGTTTAAATTAGTGGATTATTTATTTTTATATATATATATATATAAAGTGAAGATTTTTTTTTTTTTTTTGCTTCTTCTTTTGGATTAACAAACAATCAATCAACGCAATGATGAAAATGATAAAGAGAATTATAATAGATAATCGACTCCACAAGAGATGAATGACCGCGGCCACCACGATGCAATGAGTGAGTTGCAATATATTAATTATTGCGTGGACCTTGTGTTTATTCTTCTAATAGTGTGGCATATATATATTTTTTTCTTTTTCTTTTATGATTCTTCAGAGTACTGGAAACAATTTTTTTTTTTATTGTTTATTTAACTCTTTTGTGTGGGCATCCAAACGTATATTGTACCTTGAAAGTTTTTTTAGAATAATTTTTTTTTTCCTCAAGAGAGGAAAGATATCTATTTCTAGATTAGAGATAAATAAATATTTGTTACAAATTAATTAATTTAGGTTCATTGTAAAGTATAAATAAGGTTCAATGTCGGTTCACAAAAGGTCGAATATAAGTTCAAATTTAAAAAATAGGTCAAATATAGGTTCAAAGTATATATATGTTTAATGTAAAGTTAAGAAGGTTCAGTATAGGACAAGAATAGGTCGCAAGTAGATTCAAAATAGGTCAAATGTCGGTTCAAAATAGGTCGAATATAGATTAAGAATAGGTCAAAAGTAGGTTGAAAGTAATATGTTAATAAGGTTCAGTTTAGGTCCGGTGTAATACAGGAATGAGTCGCAAGTAGGTTCAAAATATGTCAAATATAAGTTCAAAGTAATGTTAATAAGGTTAAAATTAGGTTCAGTATAGGACAATAAAAGGTCGAATGTATGTTCAATATAATGTTAATAAATTAGGTTCAGTATAGGACAATAATAGGTCAAATGTCGGTTCAAAATAGGTCGAATATAGATTAAGAATAGGTCAAATATAAGTTCAAAGTAATGTTAATAAGGTTAAAATTAGGTTCAGTATAGAACAATAATAGGTCGAATGTAGGTTCAATATAATGTTAATAAATTATGTTCAGTATAGGACAATAATAGGTCAAATGTATGTTCAAAATAGGTCAAACATATAGGTTCAGAATAGGTCAAAAGTAGGTTGAAAGTAATATGTTAATAAGGTTCAGTTTAGGTCCAGTGTAATACAGGAATGAGTCGCAAGTAGGTTCAAAATAGGTCAAATAAAGGTTTTAAGTAAGTTCAATGTAATGTTAATAAGGTTCAGATTAGGTACAGTATAGGACAATAAAAGGTCAATATTGTATCGATAAATAGGTTATATATGTTCAAAGTAGGTTCAATGTAAAGTTAATAAGATTCGGTGTATGTCCAATGTAGTAACCAATAGGTCAAATGGAGTTTCAATATAGGTCAAATTCAGGTTCAAAGTAGGTCAAATATAGGTTCATAGTTGGTTTAATGTATAAGGTTAATAAGGTTCAGTATGGGACGAGAAAGTAGGTCGAAAGTGGGTTAAAAAATATCAAAAGTAGGTTCAAAATTGGTCGAATATAGATTAAGAATAGGTCAAATATAAGTTCAAAATAATGTTAATAAGGTTAAAATTAGGTTCAGTATAGGACAATAATAGGTCAAATGTATGTCCAAAATAGGTCAAACATAGGTTCAGAATAGGTCAAAAGTAGGTTGAAAGTAATATGTTAATAAGGTTCAGTTTAGGTCCGGTGTAATACAGGAATGATTCGCAAGTAGGTTCAAAATAGGTCAAATAAAGATTTAAAGTAGGTTCAATGTAATGTTAATAAGGTTCAGATTAGGTACAGTATAGGACAATAAAAGGTCAGTATTGTATCGATAAATAGGTTATATATGTTCAAAGTAGGTTCAATGTAAAGTTAATAAGATTCGGTGTATGTCCAATGTAGGATCCGATAGGTCAAATTGAGTTTCAATATAGGTCAAATTCAGGTTCAAAGTAGGTCAAATATAGGTTCATAGTTGGTTTAATGTATAAGGTTAATAAGGTTCAGTATGGGACGAGAAAGTAGGTCGAAAGTGGGTTAAAAAATATCAAAAGTAGGTTCAAAATAGGTCGAATATAGATTAAGAATAGGTCAAATATAAGTTCAAAGTAATGTTAATAAGGTTAAAATTAGGTTCAGTATAGAACAATAATAGGTCGAATGTAGGTTCAATATAATGTTAATAAATTATGTTCAGTATAGGACAATAATAGGTCAAATGTATGTTCAAAATAGGTCAAACATATAGGTTCAGAATAGGTCAAAAGTAGGTTGAAAGTAATATGTTAATAAGATTCAGTTTAGGTCCAGTGTAATACAGGAATGAGTCGCAAGTAGGTTCAAAATAGGTCAAATAAAGGTTTAAAGTAAGTTCAATGTAATGTTAATAAGGTTCAGATTAGGTACAGTATAGGACAATAAAAGGTCAATATTGTATCGATAAATAGGTTATATATGTTCAAAGTAGGTTCAATGTAAAGTTAATAAGATTCGGTGTATGTCCAATGTAGGATCCAATAGGTCAAATGGAGTTTCAATATAGGTCAAATTCAGGTTCAAAGTAGGTCAAATATAGGTTCATAGTTGGTTTAATGTAAAATTAATAAGGTTCAGTATGGGACGAGAAAGTAGGTCGAAAGTAGGTTCAAAATTGGTCAAATGTAGGTTCAAAATAGGTCGAATATAGATTAAGAATAGGTCAAATATAAGTTCAAAGTAATGTTAATAAGGTTAAAATTAGGTTCAGTATAGGGCAATAATAGGTCGAATGTAGGTTCAATATAATGTTAATAAATTAGGTTCAGTATAGGACAATAATAGGTCAAACGTATGTTCAAAATAGGTCAAACATATAGGTTCAGAATAGGTCAAAAGTAGGTTGAAAGTAATATGTTAATAAGGTTCAGTTTAGGTCCGGTGTAATACAGGAATGAATCGCAAGTAGGTTCAAAATAGGTCAAATAAAGGTTTAAAGTAGGTTTAATGTAATGTTAATAAGGTTCAGATTAGGTACAGTATAGGACAATAAAAGGTCAATATTGTATCGTTAAATAGGTTATATATGTTCAAAGTAAGTTTAATGTAAAGTTAATAAGATTCGGTGTATGTCCAATGTAGGATCCGATAGGTCAAATGGAGTTTCAATATAGGTCAAATTCAGGTTCAAAGTAGGTCAAATATAGATTCATAGTTGGTTTAATGTATAAGGTTAATAAGGTTCAGTATGAGACGAGAAAGTAGGTCGAAAGTAGGTTAAAAAATATCAAAAGTAGGTTCAAAATTGGTCAAATGTAGGTTCAAAATTGGTCGAATATAGATTTAAATTAGGTCCGATATAAGTTCAAAGTAGGTTCAATGAAAGATTTATAAGGTTCAGTATAGGTCTAATATAGGATTAAAGTAGGTCGAATACAGGTTCAAAATTGGTCAAGTACAGATTTTAAATTACAATTAGGTTCAAAGTAAGGTAAAAAAGGTTCAGAGCAGATTCAATGCGAAAGTTTAATAATAGGTCGAATATAGGTTCAAAAGAGGTTCAATAATAGGTTGAAAACAGGTCGAATATAGGTTCAAAATAAGTTCAATATAGGTTCAAAATAGATCAAATGTTGATTCAAAATAGGTCGAATGTAGATTTAAAGTTTAATATATATGTTCAAAGAAGTAAATTTATTTAAATTTACCAGAAATATTCCACTTTAAAAAATTTTTAATTTATTCTATAAATTTTTGAAAAAATTTATCACATCTTATCGGTAATGTATTATATATATATGATAACTGTCAAGCACTGGGGACCTTTTAAGCTATTATTATATCGATTGATGGCAGAGAGAAATCGATAACTCTATATTTAAACATATTTTGATATAATATTTTTGATCAATATTACCCCGTGTTCAGTATTATCCCACTTTTATATTGAATTTTTCATTTTTTTTTTCTTTTCCTTTTAAATTTCCTTCTTTTACTATTAATAATAATAATAATAATAATAATAATAATAATAAATAAATTTAAAAAAATACGAATAACATTATTTTTTAAAAAACTATATTTATCTTGTTTTTTGCAATATTATTTTTCTTCTTTTCTTTTATGTTCTATTTAAATAATTATGAAACATTTTCTTTAATACTTTTTTTTCTCCTTTTTCTATATAATTTGCAGTAGATGTTTTCTCTTTTCTTCTCTTGCGCGTTTATATGTATACTATAATGTTTTTATTCTCGTCATTATTAATTTTTTTTGTTCGTCTATTTAACTTATATATACGTATCTTTCTCTGAAACTTTCCCCTTTTTTTATTATTACTTTTATGTGTCTTCTTTTCTTTTTTTAAAAAAGAATTTTCTCTTATTTCCTCTTTCTTTAAATTTTTACAATTTTTTTTTAGATTTTATTTTAATTTTATAAATTTAATCGCACAAAATGACAATTTTAATTAATATTTTTGTTATTAATGGTATGTATTATTTTTTGTTTTAAGTTATTCGGTTTAAAATGTTAAGAATTTTATTATTATATTATTATTTATGCATTTAGCCTAAAAATTGCCAAAAAAAAAACATATAAATATATTCATCGATAATTATACATGTTTTGAATGTAATTAAAGTTTATTAACACAACTTTGAAAGTTGTTTCCAAGTTATATATGAAAATGATGGAAGTTATGATGTTATGAATCATTCCCTCTCTCTCTCTCTCACTCTCTCTCTTCCCTTCAACAAACTTCTCTCTATATATATATGTATAAATTTTCTCTTTAGGAAGATAGTTCTCAAACACACATATAAGATATACACAAACTTTAGTGTTAAATTTTGTACAAAATTATATTTCAGTCACGTATTATCCGGCGGTATCCTGTTAAAAAAAAAGAAAAGTATTGTATTTTTTTCATATAGGGTTGTTAAATACTCTCTCTCTCTCTTTTTCTCTTTCAAAAAAAAAAAAGAAAAAAAAACAATAATATTTACCAACTGAAAAAATATATATCTATATGAGATATACATATACATATATGCGGAGGCCACTTGAAGAAAAATAAACATAATGGCTTCTTCAGTTTGGGGAATCTTGACTATGTAACTCACGGTTTATATATTTTATGTTAGCTTTTTAAACTCAAATGTTTGAGAATATTCCTTATCGGGTTTTAAGATTATGGAGTACAAATATTATTTCAGATTTCTGGATGTATTATATAATTTTTCCCGCCATTTCAATAATAATAATAATAATAATATAGTAATAATCAACACAGTTGATTTATTATTTTATATTTAGACGCATTTATCTATCATTTTTCATAATAATTTAAAATGATAATGATAATAATTAGCAAAGAATTTAAGACAACTTGCCCCGCGTGATGGGGTAAACTGACACATTTTATTTAACAATTATTCATAAATTTTAAATATGTACCAAATATTTGTATAGTGGAACGTTTTTAAATATATTTAATCAATTTACCCCGTAATTAAGACAACTCACCCCGCGCGTAAAAGGGTACATTGACACATATACAGCAAATTATATTTCTAAATTTAAAATCTTCTAAATATTTGTCTAGTGGAACATATTGTTTTTAAATCCTATATTTTATCTTTTTCCCCGACTTAAGACAACTCGCCCCGTGTAAAGGGGTAAATTGACATATATTAAAATTAAAATCTGTACCAAATATTTGACTAGTGAAAAATATTCTCTTTAAATATATATATTTAATCAAATTATCTCCTATATAAGACAACTCGCCCCGAACAGGGGTAAATTGACACAATTATCAATTATTACTAAATACAAATTTCTGCCAAAGTGTGGAATATTATTTTCACAAAAAAATAATATAGACAAAATTACCCCATGGTGATATTTAGCCTATTTTTTTAAAATCACTTTTTATTCTTTTGTTTTTACTGTCATTATTATTATATGATTATTGTTGAAAAAAATTGATTCAATTTTGGCATCAGCATTTTAGCAAATTTCGTTGTAAATTTTATATTATATCTAAAAATAAAAATTAAATTCTCTTATTCTTCATTGAATGTTAATAAAAGCGTTGATACATATATAGAGAGGGGATGGGGTATAGCTTCTGGAACTTCATTGACGTCAATATCCTTATAACCGAACCCACATAAATATATGCAGGCTATTCAAGAAAGGTAATCGTTCGTGTTCACCCTCAATCGGTTAATTTCTACTATTGTATTTTGACTTGAACCCCTTCAGATCTACAATGAAGTAATGCCATTATTTTTTGAGAATAGTTTGATGCGTTATTCATGAGATGTTCTTCCTCTTTTCTCTATATACATATATATATATTATATAATCGAATTACATAATATCCTGAATATATATATATATATATGCCAGTTATACAATAAAAATATTAACTTAAAATGACACACATTTCTCGATATAATTTAATTGGCAAATGTGTTTAATAATAAATAATTAATTATATATAATATAAATTGTAATTTAAAATAAATATATTGATAAATTGATTAATTTATTTATTTACTTTTAATAAAATTTGATTACAAATTATTATTCTTTATAGAATATATCGAATTTAAATCGATATATCGTAATTTTTAAATTCTATCGACATCTCGAAAAATATCGAAATTATTTCGTATACCGAAATTGAATTGGTATCGAGATATAATATCGATATCTCGAACAATATTGAATTTATATCATAATGAAAACGCAAAATATCGAACTAATCGCGATATCTTGAACTTATATTGCAAATTTTAAAACTATAAATATATCTAAATTATATCTATATATATAGCAAATTTTAAAAAATATCGAACTTATAGCGATATCTCGAACAGTATTGAAATTAAATCGATGTACTTTATATATCGAAGTTCGCGATTCGATCGCGATTCGAAAATAACATATCGACATTTCGAAAAAAATATCGAAATTATATCGATATATCGCAATTTTAAAATAATATCGATATCTCGAAAAATATCGAACTAATCATGATATCACGAACTTATGTCGTTAGATCGCAATTTTAAAACATTAAATAATAATAATAACGATAATCGATATAAAAACGATATTTTTCGAGATATCGATATAATTTTAAAATTGTGATATATCGATATAAGTTCTAGATATTGCAATTAGTTCGATATTATGCGATATATCGATATTAATTCGATATATTTTTATATCGCAAAATATCGAACTAATCGCAATATCTAGAACTTACATCGATATATCACAATTTTAAAATTATATCGATATCTCGAAAAATATCAAACTAATCACGATATCACGAACTTATGTCGATAGATCGCAATTTTAAAACAATAAATAATAATAATTACGATAATAATCGATATAAAAACGATATTTTTCGAGATATCGATATAATTTTAAAATTGTAATATATCGATGTAAGTTCCAGATATTGCGATTAGTTCGATATTTTGCGATATAAAAATATAGCGAATTAATATCGATATGTCGCATAATATCGAACTAATCGCAATATTTTCA